TTTCTTGGCAAGGGTTTTTTGGAAGTGGTTTGCCATTACCTCCTTCCTAGGGCTGAGAGAGAGTTACTAGCCCAAGGTCATCCAGCTGGCTTCATGCCTAAGGCGGACTAGAACTTATGGTCTCCCGGTTTCTAGCCTGGTGCCTTTAGCCATCACACTTTCTGGTTTTTTGATTAGATTCTTTTAATTAAAAAATAAATACATAGATGGGTAGCTAACTTGATGCAAAGCACCAGTCTGAAGCATCACCTGGGTCATAAAGACCAGAGGTATTTCTAAAAAACAGAAAAGATTGTAGCTGCAGCCCATGGTATGGAAGGCTGCCCAGAAAAAAAAAAGGTAAGCATATTAAAATGTTACAGAGGATGCAGAGGAGCTGTTCCACTAGAGAGAATTCTGGTAAATGGATATTTTGTATACGGCCACAGCCAGCAGGGCTTCCGTTTTCTGATGCCAGCCTGGACACAGTCTCAGCTTCCTGAAAAGTTTGGGATCTAGATACAGATGTTAGGAGAGTAAAAGGAATGACTGCTCTGCAGCGCATGACCTTCCTGTGACTGGGAAATTCTTGATAAGCATAATCATCCAGGTATCTGTCTTTGAGATAAACAGACAAGTCAAGGTTTCCTCCATCTTCTGCTAGAGGAATATCTTAGTATTTCTTTAGAGATTTAATTAAGTGTGATTTTGAAACGGTAATTCGTAACAACTCCTGACTTGATAGACTAGCCATCAGTCTTAAAACTCTGGTTACCTTCTTCCAGAGCCAAAATAGAATAGAGCAACACCTTTTAAATTCATGTCCCAGCCCTGGGACTTGTTGGGACCTTTGCAGATATTCAGAGTAATATCCACTAAGGCAACTATTCTCTCTAACAAGCCTCATTTGGAAACACTGTTTGAATTAAACAGCCATATTTCTATGGACTATTGTTAGACTACAGTTACACTCTCCAGCTTTCACCGTCTGGAAACCCAAAATGTTTTAGATTCAGATGACGCACAAAACACCATAAAGTCTGTCTAAATAGTTGCACACAACTAAATTAAAAAGTTCATTAGCTTATTATGTCATACAAGCACATAGTGTGGCCACCCTTAGAATCTACATGCAGAGTTGGTTTCTGCATCCAAAATGATGAAGTGATTAGAGCACTTTTCTTTAAGAGAAGTATGAGATTGTTCAGTTTAGACTAAATGGTTTACTTTAGAAAAAGCGGCCAGGAGATCCCCTACAGAGAGTTCTCTGGGAGGTTTAAAATGAATTGTTTAACATTTGTTCAGCAATAGAAGAGGATATATATGTAGTTCAGGGTTGAACTGTTGGGTTCCTGGTGCTCTCTGAGTTTGGTTGTTTTCTTGGCAGAGGTTTCATTACCAGGCTAGGTAACACCATCAGTGCAAGGGAGAGCAGGGTTTTGCTCACTATTGAGAGTAGCTTGCCCTGCCAGTCTTGATGGGGGTGTCCCTTCCTCCTTGGCAGTTCCTTGAGTAGGGTATGGCTTCTCTGATAGTTTATCTTATAAACATCCAGCAAACCCCACTCTCCTTCACATTGATGATGTTACCCAGCTGGGTAATAATGTCTGCAAGAATATAACGAAGCTTGGAGACCACCAAGAACCCAGCTTGTTCAACAACTGCTACAGTAAAATAGATTTCCAGTGCCATAAATTATTCTACTGAAATGATGAAAATTGTGTTGGGATGAGTGGAAAAGTAGAAATTAAGGTTTCTTTTTTTTGTTTTGGTGGAAGAATGGCAACCTGCATTCATTTCCAGTCCTCAAAATATATTAATCAAATTCAGAGCGCTCTAATTCCAAATGTCTTTTGCCCAGGCTTTCACCGCTGGGGTTCTTCTAGGAAAAAAAATTAAGTAGATCCTACAGATTTTAGGGCTGCCTGCTCTGGGGCTAGGGAGGCCAAATATGTCTGTAACATGATGCATGATGAGATTTGGCCAAATATATCAGGAATGTTAGACAGTGACATTGCTGTTTCATCAGCGATATAACAAGCAAGCCAATAAATAAATAAACACATGTATTTATAAAGAGAAAAACTTCTTTGAAAATAAGTTTTTTTTTTAAGCTGAATAACAGCCAAATGGGAAAAAAAAGGATCAGATAAGAGATTATGGCTCTACTATCTTTATGAAGATGTTTTCAAAAACGCAAGTGACTGAAATAAACAAGTCCTCTGCAGAAGAAGCCCTCTTATCATCCCTAAACAACTTTCTGTTTGTTGTTCCTCCTTTTTTCCTCAAAACCCACACCTCCCCACTCTAACACAGGCTGCACATTCACCACCTGCCACTGACTTGTTGGAAAGGTGAAGGATGCAAAGGGAAATCATTCCCAAACTCATTTAGAACAGAAAGGAACCATATCGGTATGGTTTTCCTATTTTCTACTCTCTGTGCTGCCCATGCCATCAGAAATTATCCCGCAAACATGCCCAGTTGAGTCCTGGAAGAGAGGCCTTTTCCGCTAAAGCATCAAGAGGGGTCAGTTGGTATGGTCTGTATTGTGTTGTTATCCCCAGTCTTTGGCTAGGTACATGCCCCTTTTTTTCTCTGCAAACCACAAAATCCAGAGACTCCCTTTGAAATTTACATGGCAGAGAAGAGAGGATGATTTGAAAGAGGATACTATCACACCAACAGCCACCCGAAGGCATAAATCAGGGGTTTCAAGCTCCAGTGGCTACAATATGCAGGGCCAAAACCAAATACATCACAATTGTGTTTTAGTGCAATGTGGGGCCCCAAATAATGAAAGTATGCCACATAAACCATTAAAGGTCCTGCTCCTATGAATCCCTGCAGTTGGGAAGTTCTCCCTAACATTAGCATAACCTTCATGGTAGATGGTTTATCCTGCCCTCTGTGAATCACAGAAAAGTACTGACTAAACCTCTTGTCCATTAGATTGTTAACAGTCCTTTTCCTCTCTCTCTTGCCTGTTGGGAGCTCTGTCTTTTAACCAGGAACAGCCTGCCTTGCACACTGAATAGCAAAAGCAGTGCCTTTGGCAGAAGGTTGGAGATGTCCTGTGACCAGGACAGAAGGTCTCAAGAAGAATATGACTGGGGAAAGTGAGCAAGTTTCGTGCTTTGGGGTGGACTGCGAGGATGCTGGGCCTGGATCTTGGCTTCCAGTTGCTGTCGGGGTACAGTAATTTTGACACAGCCTTACCCTAAAAGTAGGGAGATAGTTCTCTATCATACACAGGAGGAATCCACAGGGGAGAAGGGTCTCCAGCCGGCTCGCAGTTGCTGCAATTTGTTGTTGTTGCTCCACCGCTGCCTCTCTCAGCCCAGAGCTCGCCCTCTTATCTGCAGCCTCCAGCTGTGGAGCAAAAGCCCAGGCATCAGGCTCTGCAGTCAGTTACCAACTGGCAGAGCAGGTGAAAAGGCTTTTCTGGCAGGACGGCTGCCCACACACCCACCCAGCCTCCCCCGAGCATGGAGCGGGCCTGGAGATCCATCGCTGCCCTTTTGGCCCTGGGGTTCTGGGCCTCTGGCTCACTTCAGGAGGGCGCTGGGAACCTTGGCGCTCACTTCAGCAACAAAGGTACCCTGCTTGAGCAGGGCGGGCTAAGCGGGGCCAGTGAGGGCAAGGGGGAGGGAGGCAAGTGAGTGTTGTCATGGCGTTGGGGGGGAGGAGGTGGCACCAAGGAATGAGGAGTCAGAGGCACCGTGTTGTCAAGAGGTGGCATCTGAGGCCAGCCTGCCAGGGGTCAGACGTGGTGTCTCCTTTTGGCACCTGTGCATTCATGCAGTCCATATTGCGCTGGAGGGAAGATTTTTAAAAAAGGAGAGTCACCCTGTGCAAAATTGATTGAACCTGACCTTCCTTGATTCAGGTGTGCCAAAAGTCTCTTTCTCTGTCATTTTATTTCTCTTGCCACACTACCGTTGACAAAAGTAGCATGAACACTTTTGGCAGACAGTGTAGGAAGAGGAGAGCCACGTTAGTTTAGGAGGCAAAAATCAGGAGTCTAGAGTGGAACAGCCACTCTCTGCACAGGATGAAGTCAGCTGCAGCTCATGAAGGCTGATGCCTTTTAATAACATTTATTAGCTGGAAAAGCTGCTACCAGACTCCTGAAGACTGGGCAGGCTGGAAAGAGGCTTTTTGCAACAAGGCAGCCATTGTTGCCTGATTTTTTTTCCCCCCTTTCAATTTGAGGGCAGTTTCTTGTAGGGCCAAATGGATCTGAAAAATCTCTCCTTCCTGAAGGAGCTTTCAGTTAGGTCCCACTTCACGGTTAACATGGAAGAAACTTCTGAGATCTGTTTCTGTTGAGGAGGAGAGGTCGGCGGTACTCTGCTGCATCAAAGGGATGGCTCCCTGGAGACCGACTGGCACAACCTTAGCTCTCCATGCTTTGATATTCTAAAGCTGGCAGCTCTGCAGCAGCCTTTCAAATTTAGCTTAGCACTTTCCTGGCAGTGCTAAAAGCCATGCTGGCTAGGAACTTCAAGAAATGTTCTCTCTGGAGGACTTTAGGTTGGAAATGTCTGGTGCTCAGTTATAGCCATTTAAGCAGTGGTGGCGGGTGGGGGGGAAATCACAAAGAGACATTACAGAAAGTGACAGAGGTCCTTGGTAGCATCAGCAATACAGTTTAGCTTGTGTTGCATCCATCAACAAAAGCAGGTATAAAGAGCCCAAGCGCATAATCACCATATATTTCCCACATGCTAATTTAACATCAGCATTCCTTCTCAATCTATTGGGGCTACCCTATCAGGGCCGCAAAACTCCAGAGAACCACTAGATGGCACCCCTAAAATACTGAAATCAGAAAACATTCCTTTATATAAAGCCAATGGGAGAAAAAAGGGCTCTCTAATTTTAATTTTATTTCTTTTATGCATATAGTCATGGATTGATATTTTACTGATTTGTTAATTCAACAGTTAAACATGTGGAATTTACAGCATAGGGAAATGCTTACTTTAAAAACAGGTTTCACACTGACCGTATAAGAACATGTTCCTATGTTACATAAACATCCAGATAACTGGATATGAATGAATGTAATCATAGGTTGTGAAGCATATGTGATTTGTCACTGTGTGTGCATTTGTGTATGTAAGGATCTGACACAGCTTAGGCTTATTCATAATTTCATGACTGCAGTGAGGTCTCGCAATGTAAAAATGAATCCTGACAGATCCAGCTCTGCTAATAAAGCAAGCTTTTGTGCTACTTTAAACTACGCTTTTCAGCTGGAGTAGTTTATATTGTAGCCTGCAAAGTGTCACGGGCTGAATAATCAAGTCAGGGTACACTGCCTTGTATAAACCAAAGGATCCATTGAAAATAGCCTCAACTGGTATGATCCTAATCTAAGAGGAGGAAATGAATATACTTTTTCAACTGGTGAGCATGTACTACTTCAGCACTTTCTTTTCAAGTACATTGTGCATTGCAATAGGGCAAAGGGATTGCCCCATACATACCTTTGAAAAAATTGCCTCGAACCATGGAGACTGGTGGCCAGGAGCTTCCTCCATTCCAAAGTTCTTGGAATTAAGAACTTGGACCTAAGGAAAGGGACATTCTCACCACATCCTGTCCTGTCTTGTCCTCTCTCTAGCAAATATCTTTCTAAATATCTATGAAACTCTTCACAAGTCTTCTCTCTCATGCCTGTTTTCTCTGGAATGTAGCTACTGTGCTTAGATTTCCATTTTAATCCTCCCTCACACACACTCGTTCATGTGCACCCTCTTCAAGTTCTTGGCCTTTCCTCTGTGGCTTTTTGGATTTGTGAATCTCCAGACTGAAATACTCAGAACTCAAAGACAATAAACCACTCAGAGGAAGCCTTTTGCACAGCGCCCATTCATTTCGAAGGGGCTAGTGCCTGGCAAAGGTTAATTATGCAAGCTCGGGGCAGCGATGCAGCAAACACTATCGCATACTCCATTGCATCTCTGGAGCTCTGTTGTTTACTCCCATCTCCTGTCCAAGAGCACCATACCATAAGGGGTTAAGAAATTATAATCAGATCTTGCTAGCAAGTTCAGCAGTCCTAGAAGAAAGTACTCCCCAGGATTTAGCAGTCCTCATTTATTTAATTTCTATCATGTCTATTACATAAGTTATACCTTTATTAGCACTTCTGGAGTACAGTTACTTAAGCTTACACTGGGCATTTCACAGAACTGTAAAGATGAAAGCATGCGGACTGTAAAAAGAAAAAAAAAGCAAAAGAAATCCAAATGCTATGTGCAGATTCCTATCATTATTTTTTGTATTCATTTATTTACTGCATTTCTATGTATAACTGAACCTTTCAGTTGACGTAAATTTACCTATGGCGGGAACGGAAAACGGGGACAGTCCCCTTATCTCAGGAAACACATGTCAGATGGAGATGGTTGCAATAGAAGTGTGTGTATGTGTGTGTGTGCGTGCGCGTGTGTGTGCAGGCATGTGTACGGGTAATGTAGGGAAGCAAAGTCACACAATGCATACAGTATTGTGGATCATGTGATTCTGGCAAACAGTATATTGTTCTTACATTCCACCGCCACCAGCTAGAGTCCACATGTGGCTATGTATCCCTGAGGTGTACATATTGCTGAAGGAATTGAAAGAAAGCAAGATTACAGCCAAGACTGTATTAGAACACAGACTCTTCTCTTGGTTATAATTTCTGTTTGGGCAGAAAGCTTTTATTTTCTTTAGTTTTAGCCAGGTGCATAAGGCTTCCTCATGCAACCAAGGAAGTGGTCTGAAAAGGCCTTTGAGTAGATCAAAGTTTGCTATGACATCCCCTGAGAGCTGCAAGCGATTTTTGACTGGGAATTCAAACCAGACTCATCTGCAGCCTGTAAATCTAACAAGGGACTGCACTACAGGGTTACTGTAAAGTTATCTCTTGACCCAGCCTTACAATCCATTACACTGACCTCAGGTTGATTGTACTGCATGCTAGTCTCACAGTTCAGCCTACGGTTGCAAAGGAAAGCAATAGACAGTTATTGCAGAGCTGCTGTAAACTAGTTTTCAACTTCAGCCTGACCTACAGAAGGATACCTCTGGATAATGCACGGTTGCTATAAACCTCGAAGAACTTCACCAGCACTAGTCAATGAGAAAGCTATGCAGTACTGCAGGGCTCTCAAAGCTGAGCTGCAAAGATCCGATGACCGCTAGATGGCACGAGAGAGAAACAGAAAACGGTTAGGGTTCTCTGTCTCTCTCCATTACCCCCTAATAGTTGCGTGGGTTTTTGCAGCCAGTATCTGGTATTGCTAACCTTAGTGCTCTTAAGCTACTTTCTCCCTGCTGCATTCTCTCCAGCATAGGAAGTGCATTTGCCTGGAATTGTTTATTAGCAGAATTAGAGTTCACAGTAAATAAGGGTTGAACAGCAGGAACTCTACTCTTTTTCTTTTTGATGTCTTTCTGAGGATGTTTGTGGGACACAGTCTTGCACACTGAATTTCTTTAATTCTTTTTATGAGTAGTTCACACTTCAGTCCCTGGAGACATTTTAAAATAACTTCTTATGGTGAATGTGGACATGACCTAACCAGATAATAATGTGCTACTTTCTACAATTTTTACAAATCGATGTGACTTACCTTTCTTCTATTTCCAGGCACTCCGTTCCATTCCTGCTCTAACTTGGTTATTTTTTCTGACTTAATCAGTTAATGTCACCAGTTTTGGGGTCACTATGACACTGTTTGGATTTTTTTGGCTGGGATTTTGCTTAATTGGGGGAATATATACAGGTTGTAGAACTCCATAATGTCATTTCTGTTGGCAAAACCTTTTGTGTTTTGCCAATAGAAGCAAAGCAAGCATTCTTTTGTGTGACCTCCAGAAGGCACAATTTTACTGCTCAGGGATCAGATAGGGATGGGTAGGTTGTGGTCCCTGCTTTTCCATGTCTGTGGGTAACATTAAACTTGTGTCTCGCTGCTTTGTATCCAGTTACACGTCTGTTGACAGAAGAGCCCTTGAGCCCCAAATGTTTCACCCAGCAGCTGGAAGATCTGGCCTGTTTCTGGGAGACATCAGAATTTCAGAAGGAACAAAAAAACCAGAGCACATACAGCTTTTGCTACAAGTTTGAGTGAGTGGTTTATATGTTGTAGTAGAGTCAGCCTGTCTCAGGCCATGGTCTGATTCCAAATGTTGTTCTTCAAAATGACAAATGCTACTTTGGGGTCTTAAATACAGTGAGCCCTGACCGAGCCCCCCTTGTCCCATCTGTCTCTGATCCCTTCCTGTGATCTGTAATACCCCCCACATCAGACCTATTTTCATCTTAATATATGGAGCAGGTTAGTATCATCCTTTAGCCAGCAAGGTCTCCATTTGAGGAAGACTGTAATAGAGCATTTCCCATTGTTCAGACTTATTCCTAGTTTAGATATTATAGTTGTCCCCAACCCATATCTCAGTCCAGGTCCTGTACTCTGACTGTTATGTTGTCCTGTTTCTCTTGTCAATATTTATTTTTGCAACCACTTCCTGGTCATGTTCACAAATTATATGTGTAGCTGTAAACTTAAAACACATTAGGTTTAACCCTAAGAATTGTGTAAGCCTGGATACATCAAAAATATATACCATTATTCCCACCCAACAATGGCTAGGAAGCAGTATGCATTTTGTAGTCCAACATATGTGAAAGCTGCCTGGTTGGCAAGGGCACTATGAAGTGCTCCTGAGAACTTCCAGAGTATATTCCACAAGGGATGAGGCTATGTGTTTCATGCCTTCCCCCAAACCTAAAGAGCCTTCCACCAGCATTTCTAAGAGGAGCTGTTGAATTGCCAACATATACGTTCTTCTACTTCCCAGACTCCCAGAGATTGAGGAAGAGGATTGGTTTCTCTAGATCAGTGTTTCTCAACTTTGGCAACTTTAAGATATGTGGACTTCAACTCGCAGAATTCTGGGAGTGAAGTCCACACATCTTAAAGTTGCCAAGGTTGAGAAACACTGCTCTACACAGTATAAGCAGTATACATTGAAGGACTTTAGATACTTGGAGGTATTGGTACTGGTGGTGAGTCCTTGGGCAGAGATTCAATGAGTTGCACTATTCTTACAGGGGGCAAAGCAGAAGAAGAATTTCTGACTACCTCCGGTGAAGCCACCATGGAAGAAGAGGCAGAAAAGCCTTGGAATATTGGCTTAGGGGACAGAAGGGGACAGAAAAGACCTAGGGGATCAGGAGAGGGGCCCCAATCAGGAGCTGTAAAAATAAAGAAGAGTTCACATGTGGATTTGAAACAACCAGCCAGGTCTTCATTAAAATATGTGCAGATGTCAGTCCTGTGCTTTGACTAGTATTGACAGGGAGCTTTTAAAAAGCCAGATAGCAAAAGTCATAGTTGGGTTGAGTTCAATGCAGTCTTAACCTCAAGACTGGAAATCTACCCTCTTGCTTTGACTCTGTGGTTTCTGCTGGGAACAGTGTGGAAATAAACCTTCATAATAGCTTCCTCCCAAGATTAATCCTTTTACCCCTTGCTTTCACCCAGGGAAGACAACTCCCTGCAGTCCTGTAATCTGACTGTGGAGAACACATCCAAGAATACAACACGCTACACTTGCTTTTTTCAAAGGCAGGATATCTCAGCTTTCAGCCCTCTGGAGATCAAAGTCTTTGATGGGCTGTCCCCTAACAGCACCCTCTACACCAGAACGATATATGTGGAAAGACTTGGTAAGACCTCTGCAGATGGGTCTCTGTGTGTGCGCGCGTTGGAGTGAATAGTCTGATCCCTTTTCACCCCAGAAATGGAAAGAATCCAATATTCAGTGCATTCACAAGTTGGAGGCTAGACTGGAACTGCTTCCTCCTGTTCAGGTTTCTTATCATGCAGTGGTGGAGAATATGAATGAAAGGAGAAAAAGAGCATCTTTCCCCACAAATAAGTTGCAGGCTGAGATTTCCAGTGCTTGCAAACCAAGAGCTTCCAGCATTATTTATCTGTTAGGTGGATCTCCCACCTTTTCTCCAGGAGCTCAATATGGTCCAACTATTTCTTCTTTCTCTCCTTGGATTTTTTTGTGATAAGGAAAAAAAGGAGTAAATAGTAGGAAAACACAATAAGGTTGCAAGTGAAAGATGATGTTATGACTATTTGGAAGCGCTTTTAGGCATTTTGTCTCTCAACTTCTGTTCCAACCTTTGCTTGTAAGAGAGCCCTTATCCCATCACAGAACCAGGCAAATGAAACTTTTCCATCCCTTTGTCTCCTTATCTAAAAAAGCTTCAGTGATTGAGTGTTGGTACATCAGGTAGCTATTAAATGAACCAACACACACTGGTGGGACAAAACTCCAGGTTCAATACAGTAGATTGGTTTCAGGCATCACACTAAGCCATAGGCTTAGGTTTAGGTTTAGTTTGTTATGTGTTGGTCACAAGAAATCCAGGTTCAGCATTCAATCAACCTGTGAAAGTGTCCTGAGTTCCCATAATCCTAAACAGCATATCTAGGGTTAAGGAGGAATGGAGGCTCCTAGAGTAACATCCAGAAATTGTGGTTGGTCCTAGATGGGAAATAGGAGCTGCAGAGCCACTGCCTATTGTATCTGCTAAACTGGAGAAATGAAGGTTGCTTGCCTATTCTCATTCTCTTCTTCCTTGGTCCCCAGTTTTCCTGGACCCCCCCTCTAACCTGACAGTGCAATTTATGGAGTCCCCTGGGCAGCTGAATGTGAGCTGGCAACCACCTCCCATTGCATACATGGAAAACAGTATCCGCTATGAAGTGTCCATCTCCCCTGAGGGCTACAGACCCCAGCGGGTAAGTCACTGACCCTTTGTTTCTTGCCCCGGTAACCTCCTGCTTTCTTTTCTCCTTCTCACTCAGTTTTATCCTCCTCTCCTCAGGTGGAAAGTACCAGTGGGCAGACATATTACCTCTTGAATCTGAAAGGGGGCACCCAGTACACTTTGGCTGTTCGGGTCAAGCCTAATGGAGTCAGCTATGATGGCTATTGGAGTGAGTGGTCACAGGAAGTATCAGTGATGATACCAAATGGCAAGTGCCTCATTTATTTGTGGTGTTTAATGTTGGCCACCCAACATCACCATTCTCTGGAGAGCTCACAAAATCTCACAGAGTGATAAAACACATTCTAGGCAGTATCAGCCCACCATGAAGCACCTTAAGGTTCTAATAGCTACACAGTGGAGAAAGTATTCTTTCAAATAATCTGGTTCCACACTATTATGGCAGGAATAAATAATCTTTTTCCTTTGTAGGTTCCTACAAACATAAAAAGGCCCTCTTACTCAGGTGGAAGAAACACAGATCTTTCCTTTCCCAGCCCCACCCCCCAAAGCAAGAGATCTGAGGGTGGGGTGGGAACATCAAAGCCACTCCATTCCTCCTCTCAGTAATTCTGTAGCAATCAATATTTCTTTCTGCTACTGTTCTGGTATTTCAGCCACAAAATGGTGGTTTCAGTTGCATTTTGATTTCAGGGCGAAGGCATATGAAAGCCTGCCCCATAGGGATCCTATTCAAGACTGCTATTTCCACATTTTATTAACAATGGAAAACAGGGATTTTGGCTACAAAGAAAGCTCTTAAGTGTCTCTACAAGTTAAATAATGATAACTGGAGCATAAATAAATATCACCAAAACACTCTCTTCATCAAAATATGGGTATAGCCGGCATGTCAGTCAAAACTGATTAAAAGTGGTTCAAGCCATCAAGGCGACTTTTTCAGCTTCTGGAGACAACATTAGAATTGTGCACATTTCCAGATAGTGAAGCTGATCCTTCAGATTGAGTGCAAACTTTCTAACTAAACACCACTTACCAAGGGAGCTGAGCCCTAAATTGCTTCTCCTGCAGGACATAATACCTAGATGCTGTAAAGTGGTCCACTGTAAACACTGAGAAGTTCCACTTTCCCTGTACACTCATAAAACCAACTTTTCTCTCAATTGCTTCGTCACTGGCTTCATATGCATTTTTTTCTGCTTTCATTGGTAAGACTACCTACAAGGTCCTCTACCTTCATTTTATGTGCGCCATAGAATGGAGAAATATACAGAAATACAAACTACATGGTCCTCTTGGCAAAATGCCAACCTCCTGTTTCAGGCGGAAGGAACCAAGAAACCTTTTTCTTCTTTTGGTATTAACCAGGGAGAGAGAGCTACTTGTCTTTTCACAGAGGGCTGATAGCTCTGGGAGGACAGGAGTCAGATAAACTATGCATTTTTGATCCTCAAGCAAGAGAAATGCAGGTTAACTTCATGGTGCGTCTGGCTTTCCAAATGGAACAGATAGTGGGGTGGCAGAGCTCCTGGTCTGGACTGTGACATTTACACATGGTTTACTGAATTAGCACTGTTTGGGCTGAACCATAAACTAGCCATATTGTCTGGGCTTGTGAGCAAAGTCAACCACAAACTAGCTGGTCACATTTTAACTTAGCATGTTATATAAACTCATTGAGAATGTGGGCAACAGCTGTGAGGGAGAGCCAGATGAAAACATCCACCTGTTTGACTAGGAATCTTCATGGTTTTAGAGGGATGCTTATAAAACCATGAGAAAATGAATGCTGATTAAAACAGAAAACCTTAACCCACCAAAGTATAAGGCCTGCTTTCTAGCAAAACAAAAACAATAACAATAAAAACGATATCTTTAGGAACCCCATTCACTGGGGCAGAAATCGCTATTGTTTGTAAGCATGAATCCCTTTGAAGCGATTAGGAGTTGCCCTATCACAACTCCCAGTGGAATTAGGGCAAGCACACAGTGTCAAACCAAATTTACTTTAACTACGGTCAACGACCAGCAAAGTAAAAAGAAAAGAAAAACACAGAAACAATGACCAAATCTGGGAAAGACAGTGTAACAGTCACATAAAACCTAACGTTCAGACTTCAAAACCAAAGTAAAGGAGAGATGGAATAAAATACAGTAAAACAATAAAAAACATGAGATAAAATAGAAAGAAAGAGCAAAGAGATTTCATAAAGTCATCACGCCAAGATTAGGATATCATATAACAGAGGAAGTCCCACTTGCATAGGTTAATATGGATGAGAATATTAGTGAATTAAAGAATAGGAAATCTCCAATGAAAACAAAAGGATATTTGGAAGAATGAGCTATCAACATGAGCTGTGTCAGAAAGTCATCTACATGTGAGAGATGACTAAACTTGTGGATCCAGTTATCTGTCAGACCAACCCTCAATCACAGTGCTGGTTTAATTGGTGGATGGTTTCCTGCAGTAATGGCATGGCAGGTAGTATCCATAGTCTTTGGAGTGTTTGTAAAAATGTACATGATAGTGAACTTCTGTATTTTTATCCACTATTTTAATTATCTAGTATCTTGAAATGGGTTGTAAGAGAAAAGCTAAGGTGACCAATTAACCAAGAGTGCTGATAATAGCAAGCTTAATTCAAGAAAAGATTGCGTATCTTTCAGTAAGTGTTATATTATTTTTTGCCCAGCCTAACCCCGGGGATGGGTTACATAAGTTCATATATCTTTTAGGAGGTCATGGGATTGCAAAGTTTGAGAACCCCTGGTGGATGATATCCAGGTTTGAAGCTCATAAATATCTGTCCACCATGGAACTCATCCAGAAGGACCTTCAGCTAACCTAAATGTACAGCTCTGTTCGGGTCTGGTTGTTAAGCAATAGCTTTACCAGTCTTTATGCATAAAAATATTAGATATTCTATAATAAACATTAGATTAGATATTAGATATATTAGGTATCTGTGTGAATACTGTGCCATGGGAAACTAACTTCATAATTCTTCCATGATTTTTGCCTACAAATGAGTTTTATTAACAAGTTAAGACCCCAGAGAGAAACATGTTGTCAGGGAAATTTGATGGCATACTTAAAAACTCTTAAGTGTGTCCGAGAAACTAATAAGGTAATGCTAAGTAAAACATATATTTAAGAGGATTTTTGGATGCAATACAATTGCATGCAAGATTCTTGGCTGCATTGCTAACCTTTTCATTGCGAACAATGTCTTCTGTCAAACTCTTTTCTAAGACTGGTGTCTAAGTTGGTGAAGCTGATGAAATGGGAGAGACTATCCTTGTATATACATATATGTGTGCATATGGCACTGGCATGATATTTAAAAAGAAGGATGTCTTTTTTAAAGGAGTACAGCTGGAAAGGCTTTTTTTTTCCTGATTCAGTATAGAAGCATCAAAGGGTTGATGCTACAGAATCACCAACTGTTTCTCAGAAGATGCCTTCTCAGAAAGCACAGCTTTCAGACCATATCTTAGGAGTGGGGCAGGATCACTTCTCTGTGTGTATGTTTGTATGGGCCTGCAATATTACTCAGACTACAAAGAGGAAATAGCAATTCCTGACTCTCACCAGGAAATTATTAATTAAAGGGACAATAGCTAGAAGAAATCTCAATAAGACTTTGCAATCCCACACTGGCAGGCCTTTAAAATAACAGGCATTCAGAGTGAAAGCACTTGATAGACTGCATAATTAATTAGATTTATAAATATGATTTTTCTATTAATATGAGCAAAGTCTAAACCAGTAATTGCAGCAAAAACCTATTGTTTTTACTACTGCACTATGTCACGAGAAATACAAGATACATTCAGGATATTGATGGTTTTTGTTTTATCTTTGTTAATTTTAAGGCCTGAAGACACATTGAGAAAAAGAAACTTCTCCAGCTACAGATAAAACTTACACTCTGTTACTGTTAAGACATTATTGTTAAGACAGTGTCATCTCTTACTAGCTATTTTTGAATATATCCTACCTTTTGATTATTACACCTATTATTTTAACAGTGTTTCTTGGTATCATTCCTGAAAATTCTAGAGAATAAAGACATCTTGTCTTGTGCTTGTATTCAAATAGAATAATTTTGAAATATGACATATAGTCACTATTCTTGCAACTGAGCAGTTATTAATAGCTTCAATCAAAGTAAAGTTTTCTCCCAAGTTAGAGGCATTTAATGTTCAAAAAGGAAAGACCAATGTTATGAAAAACTTTTCAGCATTTAAAAACTGTAATAAATTTTCTGATTTTACTCTGTTGACCTGAAAAATTGTGTTGATGATTTCTATACATTATCCTTTAACTATTCCTTGGATAAAGGTACTAATTAACTCCTTTTCTATGACTCCACTCTTGTCTATCTGCTTTCATTTTTCTTTTCTTTTTCCTTTTCTTTCATAGATTCCATTCTTGAGAATTGCCATTTTTACCTCAGGTGGTGCATTTAGATAATTAACTATGGATCACTCCATAGTTGGCATGGCAATGTCTATTTTTTCACATGGGGTAAACCAGCCTCTGCTGCTACATTTGGAAGCATCCATTTCTTCCCCTGAATGGAGCTCTTCAAAACAGGGTTTTTCAAGCTGTGTGTCCCATGGAACCCTAAGGTTCTGCAGGAAAGTGATGGGCTTCCATGTAAGACTACAGGCCAAAAAAAAAAGGGGGTGGGCACTCGAACACAGCCAGGGACATCCATAGCAATTTTTTTAGGGAAAGGCAATCACATCCCAGTCATTGAACATTGATTGGTTTGGTTAAAACATTAGCCTCCCAAGTAATTGTGAAATCCAAGTTTAAATTAAAAATTGTACATTGGAAAAGTTCATGGTGCATGTACAATAAACAGATTATTTTTACATTTATGTGTGAAGGAACTTTCTGGTACAGTAGTTGGGGCATTTGTTTTTGGAAATTTAGATCACTTTAACATATATATTTGCATAAAGAAATTAAATAATCATGCATTTTGTTTTATTGCCATTTTCCTATCACTAGAGCTTTGATCAGGGGTTCCAGGAATTAAACAGACAAACAAAACTCTTCAGCCTGAAAAAAATTGGAAAAACTCTGCCCCAGAGTCTTTCTCTGAGCACCAATGCTCATAAATTCTTCCCATCTTGGGCCATTTCTTTATTTAGCGCGCGCACACACACACACACACACACACACATATTATATTATATTATATTATATTATATATTTATATATCTCACAAAAACATGGTTCTGGACAGCTATTTCTATATTGCCTCTTTCTTGACATTTAGAGTCTCTGTTTTTTATTTGCGTATACACTGAATTATTGTCTTTAACTCTCTGCCAAATTTAAATACTCTGAAAGGTCTCCAGAAAAATAATACTTTAATCCAGAGGCAAGGATTGCCCTTTTACTCCCACTATTAATACTTTGTTATAATTGGCATTAAACACTGAATGTTCACCTAGCATCAGGAATTGTCCTTCACAATTATATCAGCTACTCTACTTCAGTCCAACCACAGCATGATTTAAGCCAACAGTTGCTATTATATGTACAATATGGTAGTATTATTTAGGATTAAATAATGCTCTATAAAAGAGATAGCAGGTATTACCCAGGAATTAAAGCCCATTTCACTATTTGCTTATCAAAAAATATTTTGCTATTATTAGTCATTTTTATATATATTGCTATTATTAGTCATTTTTAAATAATATTTTACTTGCTACTTTGAGAAATGCACTTACAAAACTTAATCACTTTATTACTTGGCCAAAAGATATATTCATTCACATTACCAGTTCAGTTAAAACTTCCAGAAATTATGAATGATGGTGGTATTAAGACAGCTTCAATGTTACAGAGAAATACATTTTGAGCATGGATTTGACTACTTAAATGTAGTGACAGTCATCACCACAACTTGACTGCACAGATTTTAACATGATGATCCAGTTAAAATAGTGTTCTAGTTAATCTTTTTCAGTATTTAATCACCAAGGTTCACTTTTGAAGAGCTACATAATAGATTACAATCCAGAAAAAGTGTCAATACATACATACTGGTGGATCATCCTTCAAAAATCACGGCTACTTTGATTAGTGCAATTTCTCCAGGTAGCTACTATGGAATAAGTACTGTACTTTTATAAAGTGGTCAGGTCCTTCCAGTGAAGATGGTTAAGTAATTCTCCATAGCATTTTTATAGAGTAACTTCACCTAGCCTAACCTGATTTTCTTCCTTGCAGATCTGGACCCACTCATCCTGATACTCTGTGTCATTTTGGTTGTGATTGTTCTGCTTTTGGCTTTCATCACCCTGATGTTCAACCGCAGGTATAGCTCTGTCCATGTTGAGAAACCAGTGTTCTTCTGCCACTGAAATCAATCAAATTCTTCATTATGGATTGAGGCAATATAAGAACATTTCTAGACTTAGCTGTAATACTAGGGATGAGGGGTGGGGAGAAGTGCTTCCGTTATTTTTTTTTAATGCTGTTCTTCTATTATTTTTCACCAGATTTTTGAAGAAGAAGATCTGGCCTGTCATACCCTCCCCAGAGCATGGATTCAAAGACCTTTTCACCATCTACAAAGGCAATTTCCAGGTATTGCTCTGCCTGCCTTTTGTGATCCAGTTCCTCCTTAGTCCTTTTTCCTACAGCAAAGCTCATTGTAGTTACATTCTTAATCCTAGGACCTAAATTAATGGACAGTTGGTGGCCAAACGCCTTCAGATCAAAGGATATAAAAAAGGACAATTAAAACAGGAATAAGAATTTTTAAAGAATTTAAATTGGGCAAGTAATTTGGAATTTTTAGGCATTAGGATCTGTCCATACAGCGTTAGGATGTTATGAAAAATCCTCCAATGTGTAGAGATAGCAATATCTGTCCATTTTGTTGAATCTGATGGCAAACTGTACATTAAATTATGTGTTCATATGCCTGCATTTGTAGGCCAGTGCAGTGGAGTAAAAATGTACACACACACACACACACACACACACACACATGTATTCCTTTGTATGGGAATCTGAAAAATGGCAAGCACTAACAATATTTCAAATTAGGACAGAGATTCACTGGAAAATAAGGACCATGTCTGAAATTTAGGGTCCATTTAAGCATGTTTGCATAATATTGAATAAGAATAGTCTGAACCAACTGGTATGTTTCCCAGCAATGTCACACTCTCTAAAAAGAACTGCAGATCTGAAGAATTTGAAACTTTTCAGCAATAATAGACAACTTATTCAGTAGGCCATTAATGATCCAGTAGAGCACATAAGAGACAGTGAGAGCTATTTAAAATGGTGTCTCTTAATGACAGCCATAGTGGCATAGTGGCATGGCACACTGTCATCCTGGACAGCTGCTTGACAAGCATACTTGTGGGGCCAAACAATCGTAATGAAAAACAAGAAAGATGAAGGTGGGACTTAGGAGCTCTGTTGAATGTTCAGGGTTCAACATATTCTCATTAATGCTATTAACCAGCTGTTATAAAGCTAGTTTGATATAAAGTGTTTGGAAACATGAACATTCATGGAATAAAGTGAAAAGCCAAAGAGATTCATATAACAGGATGCAAAAAAAAAAAAATGAAGACACTGGTGAAAAATTGGGTTCAAAGGAGGGAGAGAAGGGGATGTTCCACATCCTGTTTCTTGACACTGCCATTTCCCTTTTTTGCAGTTGTGGTTGGGGCATCAGAGCACTTACCTGTGGTGGAGCCAGAATACCGACTATCTGGAGGAGCAGCCATTTTTGGTGGAACTATTATCTGAATGTGATGGCCACAAAGTGGACAGCCCTCCCGTTCCTCCTCCCCTTCCCCCCAAGGGCTGCACTGTAGTGGAGCTCCCCCATATGCCAGAACTGTCCCCAGATGATTACCTAGTTCTGGATGAAGATGTGGTGCCATGCTGCTTAGGAAGAGATGGCTCCCTGTTTTTGCTGGGCAGCAACAGCAGTGAGGATTCAGACCTGGTGCTTGCTGAAGAAGCAAGAATTACAGAGCCCAGCCAAGCTTCCTCTAGCTTTGAATACACTGTGTTTGATCCCAGTTCTGACAGCCTCTCTCCACAGGGCCACCCAGCACAGCCCCAGCTCAAAAGCAGCTACCAGATGGTATCTGACTCGGGGATCTCTGCTGACTACAGCCTTATAGACTCCAACGCTGGCCCCACCAGCCTTTACACCAACCTCTGTGATAGACCACCACCACCCTTTCTGCCTGCCTACATTGCGTGCTCATAGCTTTAGCAAGCATGGAACCAGTCAACACACGAGAAGAACTGAGGCAGAAAGGTACCAGCCCAGCTGCTCAGTACTGTCTTCTTTCTTCCCAGGAGAAGAAGCTACAGTAGTGGAAAAAGCCATGGATCACCACAACAGCTCTGGCTGGCCAAGCTGCTCCTGTAGGAGGAAAAGTGGTTTACAAAACGGATGGGGAAGAGACGGAATGGATAAAAGGCAGGCAGCATATTTGCCTCCATGATTATGCATTGAACCTATCGACACTACTTTTTGACCATGACCTTGTTTGTTCTCACACAGACAAGCCTATTCTGCGAAGCTGTTAATTGGTAACTGTAATCAAGAGGTATTTTGGGGTATGGTGCAGGAGCTTTCCTGCCAGCAGTAACTATCAGCCCCAACACTCCATGTCAAGATTGGATGACATTCTCTTGATGTCACCTCAAAGAGTAGGGAGTGGAGTGTACAGTTTTCTTTGCTTCCGTCTTTGTCTTTCTATGTTCTTGGGTGAAACTAATTACCTTTTTTAAAAAATAAAAAATCTATTTTCATGATGCATTATGAAAACAGTTGTTTTAAATACACCATCTGGCCTGGGCTTGGAGACTCTGCAGGATTATTTCCAGCACCAGAAAGGGAGCAAAATTCAGGGACTGGAGCAGGAATTCTTAAAAATTCAGGACGTCTGGAGTTTCAGTTCAACTGCAGTTCACTCGATGGCCTTTGCTTCCCCAACTGCAAAAACGGATTTTAAAAAACTGGCTGAAATGCTAAGGAAATATCTGATAGACAGAATGCCCCAATTATCAGATTTTTAGAGCACTGCTTTGGTATTCCATCAAGTGTTTACTGTCACTGTACATGGGCTGTTTAGAAAATTACTGTTATTTGTCCTTGCAAGGATGACTTGCGATGTTCATGCTCCTCTGAGCAAGATCCTAGACTCTGCTTGTGTTGAGTTCCTTCAAAATCAGCATACTGGATTGAAATCACAGGTGTTTCAGACCAAGATTTTAAGTCTCATGGATATTAGACTTAACGTACATAGTGTTTTTTGTAATTATTATGATAATTTAGACTGGAAATGCACGTATGTTTAAGTTAGATCTTAAAGATAAATAAAGGTTCTTGTATTCTAACTCACTTGGAGAGAAGTGAATGAGGATACAACTTCATCATCTTACATTCATTCCAGTGCTTTCTCATTCCTTCTCCCAGTCCTTCATCACTTCTCATTGTCAAACTTTCTCTGCATCCCTGGGTCACATAGCTAGTGAACATGTGAGGCTTCTTTTGCCTTGTGAATCCATGTGTAGGCCAGCCCTGGATCAGACCCTCAGAGCAGCAGTCCAGGCCCCAGGATTAAAAAAAATAACGTTTTGTTTGAGTCTGGTTCCACTCTGGGTGACTTTGTGGATAGAACCATGCCATTTCTTGGTGACAGTACAGAAGTGATTCTTTCCAGGGTGCTTTTTGACTTCCCAAGCTAGCCTACAGTCCCGGAATTTTGGCAGTTTCATCTGATTATCCAGCTGAGATACTCCCATTTAGGGCTCTGGCTAGCTGTCTCGGTTCATTCCGTTAAGGCATGGGCTACTTTACTTGGTAATTACTTAGTATTGTGTGAATCTAGTCATTTAGTTTTATAAACTATGATTGTGTTGTATAAACCCAGCCACTAAACAAACCACAGCTTAAGGTGATATTTGAAACAGATGACTGTAGTTAATAGACTTCCTTAACTGGATACCACTATATCAATGGACACACAAAGGATTGTACGCGCACACACCCTTGATCAAGTGGCCTTAGTTCAAAAGAAGAGGGACTGGCAATTTCTATGCCAGGATACACAGGTAGCCACCTGGGGGTCACACAGCCTATGGGCTGCAAGCTGTCCATCCATCCAGAGGGGAAAACCTCATCTCCCCTTCCTGTACAGGAAGTGGAGGATTTTACCTTCAAGGTACAGTATGCATTTCCCTTGATCAAAGTCCTGCTTCTGTACATGCCAAACTACTGCTTCCATCATCCCCAGCCAATATGGCCAATGGTCAAAATTATGAGGAACTGTAGCCCAAAACATAGGGGGAATATAAGGCTGGAAAAGATTGCTCTACACCAGTTTCTCAACCTCAGCAATGTTAATATGTGTGGATTTCAACTTGCAGAATTCCCCCAGCCAGCAAGTTGAGGTTGCTCTACACCAGTGTTTCTCAACCTTGGCAACTTGAAGATGTGTGGACTTTAACTCCCAGAATTCCCCAGCGAGCCAATTCTGGAAGTTGAAGTCCACACATCTTCAAGCTGCCAAGGTTGAGAAACTCCGCTCTACACCATTAGGGTGTTAAGCAGATCAATTCCCTCCCCATTTTCAAATAACCTCCAATAACCTCCATAGCCTAGGTGGTACTGTCAAACCTTCTGGAACCCAGTGAAAGCAAGTCCTTGTTGGCCCATTCTGGTTTCACACATTTTCATTAAATCTTGTAAAAAGCACACAGGGAGGTGAGACAGCAGACTGTCTCTGAAGGCTTCAGCTTCCGATCTTGCACTCACAAACGGTTACATCTAACCTCACACCCTTTGAACAGCACCCAAGAACACTGGGGCTGGCCTTGCTTAATGGTAATGATAGTTTCTATCAGCGTAACAGAAGCCTCTCTGCAGCCACTATCAGGGACGCAGCTTTGCAGAGGGCTCTATGAGCCCTGCCAGCTGATATTGGATGGCAGCCAAGATGTGATCTTCAGCCCAGAACTTTGGGAGTTCCTTTAGCAGGTGGGTTGTGGATCTAGGTCAGTGTTTCCCAAAGTGGTCAATACCGATCCCTAAGGATCAGTGGGACGATCCAAGGGTCGATGTTGTTATTGTTGGTCACACAGCCAGCCAGATGTTTAGAGTGGATTTATCATTTTTACCCACCTGCCGGGTCCTTCCCAAGGACCCGGGATAGGCAGATGTTGTTCTTTGAGGGTGTTAAAGGTATCGTCGCAGGACGTAAGCTGTTTATATTATTATAATTTGCAATACTATTAGTTAAAGTAGTGGTATTTATTAAATTATTTTCATATAATAAATGCTTGAGGATCCATGAACAATCTGAAGCTTCATGAAGGGGTTGATGAGCTGAAGAGTTTGGGGACTCCTGCTTTAGGGGCTGATCTACCTGACAAGCCTGCCCCAGCACAAATATAGCCCAGTGGCCATTTCTTAAAGGCAGGACACACATCTTCCTCTATCTGCACCCAAGCAACCTTTGCCTCTCTTTTTCTGCTACACTTCAAACATGTTTTCCATCTAGGTTCAGCTCAAATGATGTTGCCTGATTTGATTGCTGTGCCCCATTTCATTGCAGGCAGACCCTTCTGCTCCAATTGGCTACTGGAAGATCCTTGCCCCTCCAGTAACTGTCTTCCAAGACCATTTCTTTCTCTTTTTTTCACAAGTTCACCAGTAGAACAGCAAAAGCTCCTTTTGGGGGGGGGGGTCTGAGAAACTATGGCATTAAAAATATTTTTACAGGCTCACTAATAGATCAGTGAAAGGATGGACTTTTTAAAATTGGCCCAGTGGTGATCAGCAGGAGAATCCACCGACTAGAGGTCATGTAAACATGATCCACACTGATCATCAGGCCATCACTTTGGCCAAAGCAAAGTCAGGGGATAAAATCTGAAAAGGGATTCCTTAATCTGGCTTCATTTCCAGCCAGTTTGTACCCGGGGTGGCAAGCAGCCAAAGGCATCAGTGGTGAAAAGCCCTTCTGACACTATCCAGGCAGACATTTTAGAAGGCCTCTCCGAAACAGCTTCCAGAGAGAACATAGAACAGCTACAGTGCAGAGTAGGACTCTATTCTAGTGCCCCCTCCCTTCTGCCAAGTGCTAGCACATCCATGTCAATGAGAGGAAATGAAGCAGCCACCCTTTCCTCAGGAATCAGAGTGCACAGAATACCCTCCTAACTGACCAAATACTATACCAGCTATCTCAACTTTGTGCTCTCCAGTGTGGGCCAATTCCCATAATTCCCAACTACATGGACCAGCTGGGGAAAGCTGGAATGTATATGAGATGGGATTTATATATACACAGGGCAAAGAACTGTTTACCAAAAAAAAAAAAAAATCAAAGAGGAAAACATTCCAGTGTTTAAGTTACAGACCTCAGCCAGTTTCTAATAGTAAAGTGTTTGCCATCATTTAAATTCCTAGTAGGGAAAAATTAAGTTCAACAGCTGAGAAAATTAAGAGGCATCCATTTCTTCTGGTTATATTCCAATAGTATTATAATTAGATCCTGGTTAAAATATGCCACAGGGTTATTCTAAGGAAAACATCAGCAAAATCAGGAGCTTCAGGGACATACATGCAAAAATATATATCATTTTTATTAATATTATCTCTATTTTATATCTTTAGTCAGCCAGGAAAGTGAACTGGAACTGCAATTCTGATTTTGCAGGCTCGAGTTTAACACAACTTGAGTTAGACCACATAGCTTAGTGTGACAGCAATCCATGAGTTGTCATCTCTGGTTCAAGAAAAACTAAGGTCACCTTGTTATCTAACTTGCACAGGACTCCACATTTTCTGGAGGCTCAGATCACAAAATAAACTTAAAATGGTTCATACTTCTGCATGCATTCCTTAAAACAAGGATAGGCAGACTGTAGATTGGCACTGCCTTGATCAGAAACAACTCTCAATGGTTTAATATCAATGAGTCTTAAGTTCCCCTTAAAATTAAGCACTGGAAGAAAAATACAAAAAGATGCGTGCGAGCTCCAAGTTTGTACTGGCCCTGGAGATTCTAGTGGAAAGGACATCTGACAACTCAAAGCCTATCCATTCTGCCCCAAACATGTTTCTGCTTTTTGAACCCCCACAATGACTTAACAATGCATAGGACTATCAGGAGCTGATATGAATTAAACTCCTAAAACAGGCTGGGGAAGGCAGTGTGAAAATGATGGGGTAATGGATCTGAAGGATGATGTTGCTCCATCCTCAAAAAGATGGCCCACTCTGAGATGAATAATCAGTGGACTTCACCCCACCCCAATCAAATGAAAAATCAATGCAATGCCAGGAAATATTTGAAAAATAAATCCCCTCATTACTTTGCACCTCTAAATGTGCCCCATTCATCAGGTCACAGCTCAGTGGTGCTGCTTATTTTTAGCAGACATGAAGCACAAAGGTCCAGCCCTACTCCCATGATTTAATTGAGCTCTCATTATTTCAGTAAGATTTCTATGGAGCTCAACCCAGTGGATTGGGCCCTTTGTTCAAACAGGGTGTTAAGTGGGTTGAGATTTGAATTAGTGCTTTCCACCTGAAAGCACTGTTTGAAACCAATAAGGAAACAAAAGTACCCTAAGCAAAAGAATGCAGAAATCCCCCCCTTCCCTTCTTGTTCCCACTATCTCTTTTGGCTGGAAGGATCTCAGCACTATTAATTAACATAGCAGATCTTGGGAAAAAAGTGGTTGTGGAATAAAGTATGTATCCGGAAGGGCCAGAGAAGCCCTAATGTCTATGTACACATAGGAAGCTCATTTTTTATCTTTCAAATAATAGGATGAGCTTTAAAAAAGATGAAACTCTGATTTCATTCCCAACTGTGATTTGGAGCCTTCTAGGAATATTCAGAAGTTATGTTTTTTTGAGGCCTTTTTCACCAACTAGGACTGCTAGAATGATGCATTGCACATGTTGTAATCAGAAGTACAAGGACACCAGGACATACAATATGGCTGATTAACACCTACACTTTCTATTTCCAGAACCCAGGCTTCTTTTAACCGATCAACTTGCAGTTTAGTCTAAATGAAAATCAACCCAAACTTTGATTCAAAAAAAAAATATCACATTTCGTATTAATGGAAGGTATGTTTGCTGTAGATCAAAGGATCATCCAGAAGCAATCAGCAACTCCTTAAGACTGGGAGCTAGGCACAGTGGCATCAGCTTCAGAAACAGAAGGCCTATTTCCTGAAACTGTGTCATTCTCAGTTTCATTTTTGCATGGCAATGGAGAGATTGTCATGCTACCTTGTGCATCAAATTTCACCATCCATTCTTGATCCTTTGTCCCTGGCTGCAAGAGATGTGCTCTAATCAGCTTGGTTAAACCTTGGTTATCTAAACCAATGTCCACCCCAGTGTCTGGATGCAGCCACAGATGAGCTGGGAAGTAGTGTTCAATGGCTGAGAAATGTTCTGCTTCTTCCCCAGCTTCTCCAGGAAACTTCATGGAAACAATCAGTTGGCAACCCACAGACAAATGGCTACGTTTCTGACTGAAGTAATTAGATGTGTCCAGCAGCAGGGCCACAAGCTGGGCTGCTGTACAGGGACTGGAACAATTGTTCAGATACTCTTCCAAACCATCCAGCACAATCATGGAGGAGCTACTAGATAAGGTTTGGTGCAGGGAGGCCACCAGCTGTAGCAGCTCCTGGAAGGAAGCTGGGTATAGGAAGTGGATTCTCTTGAGAGAAAAAAGAAAACACATTAGTGACCAAGGTTGTTAAACACAAAGCCATTATGGATATCAGTATGGCCTTTGTAAAACATTTTCCATAAATTATGGCAGATATTGAAAAGCTGATAACCCAGAATTCACATCTTGCAATAAACACCCAGCACTGGGCTAGAGTCACTGATTTTGAAATCCATCCCCATAGCAGGTTAATGTGTTATCAAACATACAATGTGCCTTTGTTCTTACAGATGTTCAACATTATTCAATATACTAATCATTTGGGGCCCATGGGCCATTGTTTAAGCCTACAAATATTTACCTGAAATATATCTGAAATTATTTCCCCTCCTAATAATATTCTTCCAAATAAAACTTCTGCGAAAAGATTAATCAAGATAAATAGAGAAAATAGGTTGGCTTTCTCCCAGGCCTTCTGGAGACCCAGAGAATGAAGCTAAATCCCTAAAAATTCTGGTGATGCCCCCACGTGACGCAAGTCATAGGAAATGTTGGAGGAGTAAAGTTGCTAACTGCCAAATGTAAAATAACAACCCGGTCAATTCCCGACCGGGAATGCACCGTTACTCTTATGCAAAAGATACATCGTCTATCTTGCACATTGCAGGGACAATCCTTTTCCACTTTCCACACAGGTTCGGGACTGCAAGGCCTACCCCCGTTTCGTTCACACCTGGATGGCTCCTGCTCCCGCTGCTTTCCCGCCCGGAAGCCGCTCCAGGGGCCGCGGCGCCAAAAACAGCACACGAGCCGAGGAGACAACGGAGGCACCTACTAGTGCAGCGCGGAACAAGAGTGTAGAACGACCCGAGCCGGTAGGCCCGAGAAGCAGCAGCGGCCGCGGACGAGGCCCTACCGCTCCCGCTCCCGCCATCACCAACTCCAACTCCGGCTCCGGCTCCGGCTCCGGCTCCGGCTCCGGCTCCGGCTCCGGCTCCGGCTCCGGCTCCGGCTCCGGCTCCGGCTCCGGCTCCGGCTCCGGCTCCGGCTCCGGCTCCGGCTCCGGCTCCGGCTCCGGCTCCGGCTCCGGCTCCGGCTCCGGCTCCGGCTCCGGCTCCGGCTCCGGCTCCGGCTCCGGCTCCGGCTCCGGCTCCGGCTCCGGCTCCGGCTCCGGCTCCGGCTCCGGCTCCGGCTCCGGCTCCGGCTCCGGCTCCGGCTCCGGCTCCGGCTCCGGCTCCGGCTCCGGCTCCGGCTCCGGCTCCGGCTCCGGCTCCGGCTCCGGCTCCGGCTCCGGCTCCGGCTCCGGCTCCGACATAGTCAGAGCAGAACGCTGGTTAGAAGCCCGGCCGCACTGCGACCAATCCGAAGGCTCCATTACCGCGAGGCTTAATGCCGCCAATATAGCCGTTTTCATGAGGTACACAAATAACGTCATCCGCTTAAGCCAATTAGAAACGGCAGTCACCGCCAGGTGGCCAATCCATGAATCCGTTTTCAGAACTTTCTGATGCGTGGATTGAAACGTGACGCCGAGAAGGACACGCTTGAGATTGAACGCTGCTCGGTTCTTACGTTTCCCCTGGGGTTGAGTTGCGAAGACTTGAGCGTGGGGACGATGATTGCGCTGCGGCTCTTCGAGTGCCGATTTCCGGACGCGTTTCTTAATAAAATGCAGGCTCGTTGCTTTTTGCTTTTTATTGATTCACTTCCTGGGCGCCTGGTTGGTTTCATCTTTAGCGCTGTTCTAAGAATTGTTATCGAAAGGTACGGAGGAAGCGCCCGGGTAAAGCAGGAGACAGGACAGCCTTTGGCAGCTGTACCTTTTTTTTACAGTGCATGGCTGCCTGAGGTGCTTTACCACGTGCTGCCAAGAGAACGGCAGATTCACACTGGGGGGAAAACGCAGCTCCTCTCCAGAAACTCTTACCGTGCCTGCACATGGCCAGATAGAGAAGTAGGATGTTTAAACCGAACATGGACAAGATGGGCTACGCAAGAGATCCTGGTAGCATAGGAACAGTGGGGTAGAGGCTGCACAATTTATGGGAAGGGTATCACAGGGGTAGTATCACACATCTCAGTAACTGTAGTAGAGGGACTATTAATGTTACGGGTTTTCAGGGCATCTAGTTGATCGTGGTAGAAATATTACTTGATCCAACAGGTGTTTCTTTTAGGGTTCATGTTGGTGGTAGAATCGTTCAGTTTGCAAGACTATAACTTGCATCCCTAACAGGGTTTTGATGCATTTGAGGAACAAAAAAGGGTCCTGCCAGCAACCTAAAGCTGAAGTTTAGACAAGGAGCCATTCGTGGTTGATCTGTAATTCATATCACATCAACCCAGATCTCTAATGAACCCTTTACGTTAGGCAAGCCTTCAGGCCTGTTTGGGAGTGTCCCTTGATTGTTGATGTTTTATCTATCAATAGCTACTTTTAATTGAATACTTTGGGTATACAGTATTTTAACCCTGCTTATTCTAAGTTTTAAAGGATGGATTGAGAAATCTATTCATAGTTCTCAAAAGAAATACAATTAAAAATGTGAGAGAACTGAACTTTGCTCCATTAGTTGCTTTGGTACTGTCTTAAAATATTTCTGGTGATAGTGGTGTACCAAAGTCAGAGGGTCATCTTTTTCTGTATAGGGTAGGCCTGCACAACAAACAGCCCATGGGCCATATGTGGCCCATGAAGCAGCCTTGTGCTGCCTGCTGGTGTCTTTTGAAAAATAACGAATCTATTGCCACCACACATCACCACTGCCAGGAAGGATTTGCTGCTGCTTAGGTTCTCCCAACCCCTTCTGAGACATGCTACTGAGCATCTCCAACACTTCCAGACCTCCCAGACACTCTGCTGCTAGCCACTAAACAGCTGATCAGCTCACCAGCTATTCCTTGGAGGCTCACAATTATTTTTAAAGTACTCATCTGCCCCTTTCCCCTTTATGAAGTGAGCAGACCTGGTATAGGGTCATATAAATAGCATGTCTCACTATATCCCACCATTTTACTAATCAGTGTAGGAACCTTCAAATACTGCTATAGTCAGATATTCAAATAGGGATTTTTTAAAAACAACCAATGGGATCTGGAAATTTACCTTTCCAAAAAAAAACAAACATGCAGTTTTTGATGCTACGCTAGTTGGCTAAGGTGCTTGTTCCTATAAGGTTTTGAAGGAGGATCCTTCACTGTGCATGCTTTGTATTCTTAATCTGGGGTGAACCTTATAATTTTACTTCAGTTCCTAGGTCCCTGAGTTAACCACCAGTATCTAGTTATTTACTTAGTGCTGGCTGCTTATCACTACCTGCTTCTTCTTCCACTCTGTCTTTTTAAATCTAACTTCCTGTAAGAAGACAACTGACTGAGGCTGAGGAGCATTGGCTTAAGCTACAATCCCACCTCATGGAAAGCACAAAAAGCTGTTTCTTGGTTATCTTCTTGAAACTGCTGTCAATCATTTGGGGGATGAGGAGAGTAAAGCTTGTACTGGAGCGCAATGTCTGTGACTATTCCATTTGTACAATGTTTCATATTTTTATTGGTTCCTTTTAAGGAACGCTTTTACTGAGCCCTCTGAAATTTGCAACAAACCAACCAAAACGCAAGAGGAATCTGAAACACGTCTCGGAAGCCTTTATTAGCAATCCTCTCTTTTTCTCTAGAGGCACCCACTATGTACTAGCTGCCTTGAAACTTTCTGAAGCCAAGACACTGGTGTAGCTCCTTGGTGGAGCACAGTTTGAGAAACTGGAGAAAGTTCAAACTGGCTTCTTCAGAAAGTTATTTCGGGTAGCAAAAGGTGTGCCTAACACTGCTCTATGTTCAGAGGCAAGGCTTATAAAAATCAAAAGAAGGGTACAGCTGCGTGCGCTCAGATATTGGCTCAAAACTCCTTTTCAGCACGAAGGTCTGGCACATCTTATCCTGTCAGATAATTTCTTCTTGAAAACTCCAAATAAATTACCCAAATTGGGGCCCTCAAGTGAGATTCTGATGTACCTGGCAAAGGCAGCTCTTAAACAAAGAATTCTTGA